TTGTTCTTTTCAAATTTTCAAACTCATTACTGTTCATCGCATCATTATAAATAACAGTTGTCTCAGCATTTGTATAATTTACATAAATAACATAACTAAATAAAATTTTGACCTCTGTATCTCTTTTTTTTCTCCTAGTTGACCATCTTAAATTCAACATTTTATTTTCATCATTTCTTCGTACGTCTTCGTAGGAGGCGTCGTATGCTAAACGAGACAAAACTAGACATCAACTCCCGGGATCTTGCCTCCCTTGCCTTCAGCTAGGGAGGGAATGCCATACTTTCGTTCATTGTGACGAAGTATACTATTAATAATGATAAGAAAAATAACGATCATAACAGTCACGATAGTAAAACCAAAAGACGTTTTTCCGAGCAATACAAAAAATTTCTGGAAATTTAGGAGTTAATTTTATGTTTTTTCGGGAATCCTTAGAAATCCTAAACGTAAACAAACTTAGCCTCAGAAAAAATTAGCCTGAAACACAAACAAGAGATGAATTTCCAGTAACTATTATCAACTCTGAACGTAAACAAGCTTACCCTTTAGAAATAACGGTCTGCTAACGTAAAAATTGGGCGAACTCACAGAAAACAATAACTGATTCCAAGCGTAAATAAGCTGAGCTTTCAGTTAGTAACTTATACTTTCAAGGAAATGTTCAAAGAAAACTAAACGACAGCAACATTAAAATGAAAGAGGGGCATATGTGACATGCTATGACTCCTATGTTATGTAACAGAAAAGATTTTTTAGAAACTCCAAACATAAACAAGTTTGGTCATGAGTTAACGACTGCATGTATATGATTGAAAGGATTTATAAGAAAACAAAATGACAACAAATCGTAAATATTAAAACGTATTGAAAATAAGAACAGGTTAGAAATGTCTAAAAACGTTAGAAAAATCTATGATTTAATATATTCTAATTTTTTTTTCGAAGAATAAGCTTACATTAAAAGAACACCAATGACTGTAAAAATCATGATTAACTAATGCCATTGTCCCGTTTTGATCCACGTAGCGGATGGCCGCAGTGTTTAAGACACTTCACTGTACATCAATTTATTAATTTCAGCGGCTCATAAAAAATCATCATACAACATGATAATACAAACCCGGTGCCGGTCATACAAGCGTATGCATAGTTAGCAAAATACATTACAAATTACAAAATCGCCATTTAAAATTCAAATCACGCAACATGAATAATTTTTATACTTTTCGATAAAAAAATTTTGAAAATCAAACAAACTAATACCTTTTATGAATATCTTGAACCATGTGCGATTATTTTTGACTAACATTATTAATGACTTTACAAAACGATTATCAATTTAAAAATTCGTGTGGCTGCTATGATCCTTACAATATAGTTGGATCAAGTTTTAAAAATGGATTTTGTTAAGAACACTAAAAAATATAATACGACAGAAAATAAATTTTTTATTTTTCATTTTGACGGGAATTTTCCATAAAATTCAATTTTGCATCATAAATAAATCGATGTAAATCTGATGCTTTATAGTTTATCATATTGCAACTATTTTTGCTTCATTAACCATATTTTTACACGAGATAAAAAAATTTTTATAACAGGTAAGAAACTTTATAATTTGTGGAGATGCAAAGTGTTTTTGTGATGTTGTCTGGCTATGACTAGTTACGTCGGAATACAAAAATTGTCGAACGCAAAAAGTGAATACCTGCCACAACCAGGCCTAATCGATAGAAAAATAAAAAGTTTTAGAAGAAAAGTGACATTTGCGGCACAATTGAAACTTATCTATTGTGGGTTGCATGCATTTGAGACCGAAAGCTGGGTACAGATAAGGTAAAAAATCAATACCTGCCACCAATCTTATAAAAGTTAATTAACCATATAATTCGCGGAGATCGAAAGTGTTATCGTAATATAATTTTCCTATGACGAGTTACGTCAGAATACAAAAATTGCCTAATGCAAAAAATGTATATACCTGCTGCGACCGGACCCAATCAATAGAGAATAAAAAGTTTTTGTATGCAGTTTTGGATGCAGTTGTAAAATTTGAACGAAAGCAAGGTAATTTATTCCCTTTATTAAATGTACAATTTGCCACTACCTTAGTTTATAATGTACATTATTGTGACAAAACGATAGGCTAAGTTGTGGCAGGTATTTTTATTGTAGGGGGGGGGTCCACTTTTTTTAGATTGAATGTTGAATGGTGAATGAAATTGAATGATTGAATGTTGGATGGAAGATGAACCTCAATCGTGTCGGAAATGGCACTTCCGAAAACAAAGTTTTATTTTCTACGTTTTGGTCTAGGTTGAGGCTAATATATAGTATTAACAACATGAAATTTCTAAAATGCTAACATAACTTTTAACAAAATAAAATACGACGTAAATATTTCGGATCTCTACGCATCATGAAATTTCTTAATTCATAAAAGAGTTGCGGCTGGTTTTTAATTTTTGACCACCTTCGGGCCTCAGCTCTTGATCTAAGACGATGCAGAGATTTCGTTACAGTTGCAATGGATTGAAAATAAAAGTTTATACATCGTTTTCAACAAAAATAATTGTAAGTAACAGATATTAATATTTTGCAATCTTTAAAACACAAATACAGAGCAGTATTCTTCTAAACTTCTAGACACTTTGAGTCAGTTGGGTTGAAGTTTATAGTTCATGAACATTTTTGTTGACTTTTCTGCGTAAATTTAAGTTGTTGATCAGATCATTAGGTGATAATTTTTTTTTTTTTTTTTTTTTGTAAAACGTTGAGCTTATTTATTGTGATTGCTGATAATTATTTCTTCACAAAAACTGTGCCAAAACTATCTAGGAAGTGTAAAAATTAAGAACGAAAATTTCAGCAAAAGTAGGACAAGTATTTTTCATGGTTAACGATTACGTTACCCAGTACTTGGCTTTACATAAAAATATGAAGTATAACACGATACAGCGATGGTTGATAAAAACTAGACTTTTATTAGATAAGCAATTGTACTCTCTTGTTACTTTATTGGTTGATAGAGTATTAGTAAAAACAAGAGAACCTTCTATTTGTTTTATCTAGTCTATCTGTCAAGTCCATTAATAACATTCTTCAAAAAAGACCTATAAAGGGAGACAAAGTCGTTAACGTTTATGTAATAGCGTTGCTAACTCATCCAAAAACCTAGGCATCATCCTCACACATTTTCGTCAAAGAACTTTAACGATAATCTGTAAATATGAAATTCTTAAAAGGACTGAAGCAATGCTGTAGAGATACTCTGAGATTCCGACGGAATTCTTGAACTTTATCTGGTACTTTAAAGACTAACCAGGAAAAAAACCTACTAAGCTTCGTACCTCAATTCATTATTTTGAGTACAAATATTTATAAAATTAATAAATTATAAGTTGAAATAATGCTGTTGGTAAAGTAGTTCTGATGTCATAAATGCCTCTGTGTATACTCCATAGAGTAAATCAATAAAATAAAATAATCAATAAACTTACAAGTCAAATTTCAGTTTCACGAAATTGATTCCCAATTAACTTAGCAAACTGGGAATCGATTTTCAGCAATCGGTTGTTAGAACTAAAATGCGATTCCCGGGTGGAATCAGAATGGATTTTACCGTCCCTACAACGGATGACTGTAGTATAGTTGGCGGCCCACTGCACTGTTGCTTGTCTACGCGCTATCTGTCTCTTTCACTCGTATAGCATTAGACAGAAAAACATAACAATATTTTTTATTTAAAAGTTTTGAGTGGAACAAAACAAAAGTAAAAAGCTAAATCGGTAAGAAATTTTTTTAACTGAACTTCAAAAACTCAGTTAATGGTATTTAGCAAGGTTTTGTCATTTTTTACTATTTTGATCGTGATCTACGAGTTCAATAACGTATAATATCAAAAGTATCCCGTAGAGATTGAAATTGAGATTCAGTGGATTTTCGACCAGTCTAAACATGTCAGGGGTAATACTGCTTAAAGGAAAGTATTAGTAGTATTATAAATTAACTTTCTTTTAGTATATGAGCTTATAGTATGGCGTTGGCCACTGAACTGGAAAAAAATCACGCAGTACTAATCCAATCTTTGAAAAACCGAAGTTCAAAGCTTTTTAAATCTGGCTTCAATTATTTTTGATGTGATAAAATGTCATATGAAAATAGTATATATTGTACAAATGTATTACAACAGAAGTTTTTTTTCATTATTCTTACATCAGTATTGTAATACATGCGTAATACGTAGGCAGTAACTTATTATAACGGACACTTTAAATTTGCGTTGGTATTGAAATGAGTCAGTCGCACGTTCAGTCGCACACTAGCCCCCGGGCTGTAAACGCTCAACCTCAAGCCTAGAGCTCTATGAATTTTCTTACTTACAATAAAGTATGTATTTCAAGTTCATTAAACATTATATTATGTGGTTATTATTTGATACCAAGACATCACAAGTATCATCATTATATTTTTAATCGATTTAAATCGACGTCATTACGCACTACATAAATGTAAGCTATTTTAACAGTACTACATGGTGTTGAGATTTTTTATTGAAAGATAATTAAAATTTTTTTAATTTACTCTAAACGATATCGATGAGTACAAAGTGCATTGTTGTATAATATCTTTTATGTGATACTGTTAGTTTTGAGGTTGTGCGGTATTGAATGTCATTACGTCTGGTTGTAATTAATTTTGAAAGTTTTCATTGAAAATTCAAAAATTTTATGTTTTGTACTACCATATTTTTCCAGAACCTTCTGGACATCAATAAAATACATTTTAGACTATTCATAATATCATTCAAAATTATCTTTTGACTACTACTCAGTTTAACAAATGAGTTTTTGAAATTTGTTTCTAAATTATTTACATTTTCATTGTCCTCAATATCTTGAGATGTTAAAGTTTCATTTGGTTCAATTAATCAAATCAAAATGAACAATGAAAACATTTTAATAAATACTGTATGGAAATAAGTGTAAAACACTTACTGATCCTTTGCCATTTGGACACCCAACTTTCTTCAGGACTCATTGCAGCAATCATTCTAGAACATTCAGAAACATTCATGTATTATTAAAGTCTTGAAATTCAAATTGATTTAAGGTGACACGAGTGTCATTCGTAGTAGTCATTATTAAAGTACGTATAGACCGAACAAATCCAATATCCTATCTATGGGCAGTAGCCAAAAATAGCAAAAAAAGAGACTGGTTTTGGAAGATCTACATTTACATGGCTAAATATATTTTTTCTATGGTATCTTACGAAATGTCTTTTTCAGCACTTGACAATATTGTTTTAGAAGACAATATAAAAAGTTGCTTGCTCCAAGCCTCCTACTTGGCAGATTGATTCGGTAGCTGAAATGCCTACATTACATATTTATTAGACCATGACAGACAATTCCATCATATTATTCATGTATCCTTTTTTAAAAGGCTTACAAGGTGTAGCCATGTTGAATTAGTGCGGAGCCATATTAAGAACACTTTTTAAAAGCATCTGAATGGCAGTTTGAGAAACAGTCTTTAAGTAAAATTCTGTGACAATAGTCTTATGCAAGGATGAAAACTAACCTTGAAACTGAAATTGGATAAATATTACTTACACTCTTTGATTTCTGCGATAATAAGTGCATTATTAATATATATAGACCACAATCTGCATTCAGAACGCTTTTGAGCTGAAGAGAGTTGAGTGAAAGGTGTACAGAAAGTACGTTAAGTGTAATTGCGCTGCAATGTTGTTGCCTTTAAATTCGTACAGTAACTTAATAATGTATGAGATATCAACTGGTGATAAGTAAGAAGAAATAGTAATTCTTTACGAAATTACATTGCGCTCCTCAGAAACAAATTATTCACTTTTTCTTAGAAAGGACACAATTCATTAAAAATTTATTTGGAAAATGTTGTTAAAAGGGTGACAAAAATAATGTCTATGACGAGTTGTATTTAGAGTTTCGATTAATTCGACAATATTGAATGTCCAAGAAATTAGGAGCCTGTTTTTATAGTTGATTTTATTGTTTTTTACACCTATGCTTAATCACTGGAAGTATCTGTATTAAATCGACTCCTAAAATGAATAATTTTTTACCGAATGGAATATTATCATCACATAAGTCATTTCAAGTTGTGTCCACCATTTCCAAAGCTTTTTCAGCGATGATTGAAGCTTCACCCCAAATAATTATTTATTTCTCGTAATTTTTTTTTTCATCAGTTTCGTATTCTAAAAAGAACTTTGAATGTTATTTAAATCTAATGGTAATAAAAATGTTCTATGACTTTTAATCTGTTTGAAAATAAAATGAGAGTAATTTTAGTCCAAGCCATTGATATAACCTTCATCTTTATTAACAAAAAAAAAAATTTTATGTTTTGTACTACCATATTTTTCCAGAACCTTCTGGACATCAATAAAATACATTTTAGACTATTCATAATATCATTCAAAATTTTCTTTTGACTACTACTCAGTTTAACAAATGAGTTTTTGAAATTTGTTTCTAAATTATTTACATTTTCATTGTCCTCAATATCTTGAGATGTTAAAGTTTCATTTGGTTCAATTAATCCATAATATTTACATGATTTTTCTTTAAATTGAAATATTTCATTTTAATGTAATGAAGCATTATTTTGCTTATCGTTTTTCAAGATCTTCAATAAAAAATTTTTAGGAATGATTCAAAAATAGTCTTACCACAAATGTCTGCAGACGTTAAAAACCACGCGAGAAATTTTTTCAGTTGATATGGCAACATCAGAGATTACAAAGAAGATTGCTGACTGCAATGCTACGGAGTGCGCCCACTTTTTTTATACTGGTTCGAGCACACCGTTGTATTTAAGTGGCTGAACCAGGTGCAAAATTTTTTTTTTATTTGAGAAGCATGGTAAGGGCATGCGCCTACAAGGAAAGGAGTGGATCAGTCTTAACCAAAAGTAGGAAAATGTACGCTCAAAAGTAGAATACGTGCAATTCAAGCTTTTGAAAGTATAAAATATAAAATTTGATCTTTTAAAAGAATAATATCAAAAACTCTACTTTTCAAAAGTAGAAAGATCGTATTTTCTACTTTTAACAGTAAAAATTTTGTTATTTCTACTTTTGAAAAATACAAATGAATATTTTCTACTTTCCAGAAGTTCTCTATTACATCTATACAGACAATGAAATTCGTTAAAAGTGAGTATTTACCTCAGGTAGTTGCAGCTATAACGACATTTTTTAATTTACTTCACTTCATTAAAATAAAAAAGTAACAAAACTGTCAAGTAAAAAGTATATAGATGGCTTTTGACTGAAACGAGGATTAACAGGTTATATCGACGTTGTTGTAGTTATCCCCAGTGTATACGACATATTATACTTTTGAAAAGTCTAAATTCTGAATTTTATACTTTTGAAAAGTATAAATTGTTAAATCATACTTTTGAAAAGTACAATTTGATAATATTATACTTTCAAAAAAACCAAATTTTGATGTATACTTTTGGAAAGTATGAAAGACATAATTTCTACTTTTTGCAAGATGAAATGACGTGATTAATTCTTTTCAAAGAAGGAAAGAAATGTTCCTACTATTGAAAAGTAGGATTTTACGGTTTTCTACTTTTGTTTTATATAATTTCTACTTTTAAGCGTTCATTTTCCTACTTTGGTTAAGAGTGTATACTGAATGTGCGCTTGTGAGGAGAGGAGTGGAAACGTTGGCTATAGCTGTACAGCAGAGCACCTAACAAAAGCAAGCGACGACGACGACTGCTACAAGTCTTCCTCACTATTTGTACTTAAGCTATCGCTATAAATATAATATGATATTCGACAGACTTGCTTTAATCTTATGATTCAACATCTTAGAAGTTGAGGGGGCATAAGTAAAAAGTGAATAAAAAGTTTCAGCAGATGCTTATAACATAGTTTATAGTTTAATGTTTATAATATACTAATCTTTGGCAGCATAACGTTACAAGCTTCCTTAAATATACAATATACTTGTGGGTCGTGTTCAACTAAATCTAAAGCAATAGCAGTATCTCTAAACGTACTATAATGTATGTAATTAACTGTTTTCCAACTTTCGAAAGATTTAGCACTGCTTGCCAGATTTAAAATTAATTTTAAAAAACGCTTAGAGTCGTTAGGTGACACAATATTCGGTCACCCTATTATTAAATTACATCTAACTCTTTTTTTTTAACCTACGTTTTTAGCGTTGAACTAAAACAGTAATATTTTGGAATATTCACGTATCTAACTTTTTCGCGAAACTATCTCTTTTATTTAATTTAAATCAAGCCGTTAATGCTGATAAATTTGTAGTAGCGAGTAATTGATCACCGGATGATTGAAGTATTTTGTTAGTTTTTAGTTATCTCTACCAAAAAATTTGTATTTTATCAAATTAAACCATGAATTAAACAAATAATTTATTGGAACATCGGTCATAAGTATTGTAGACCCATCGACAATATTAGTTTAACGTTTTATAATGCATCCACATGTACCCTGCTGATAGTAATTTTATAATCAAATATTAAACATATACACTGTTAAATGTGTTATGAGTTCTACTAACAATTTAAGACAGAATTTGTAATCGTACATTCAAATCTTGTTATGTCATAAATAATTAAGAAATTGTAACGTAAATTTTAAAATATTTTTAAATTTCGAAATATTTTTAAATTTAATAAGAAAATTCATTGAAATCTTTTCAAAAGATATACATTGATTGTTAATTCAAAATTTTTTTGAATATTACAAAAATATTTACGAAGCATTTACTATATTTTGATTTCTTTGTAAATTTAATAGAATTCTTTTATTTTTTTTCTAGCACGTAACTTAATTAAAGATAAAGCTAGCTTTTAAAATGGAATTTAAGATTGGTCAGTAAATTTAAGAAAATTCCTTAACTTTAAGATGGATTTGTTGAAGATGTGTTATAGATAAGCCTACATCTTCCCGTAAATATATTTCAAGTGTGTAATGATTCCTCTCTCATTGACAATTGAGAATTGCGACGTATTTTGTCAGTTTTCTGTCGAATATCAGTACATATAAGTAATGATATAAGTAGTAGTAGAGGATACATTTTATCAGTATAAAAAAAATAAACTAATTTTATTGTTAACGTAATACTTTGACCTAAGCCATATGCACAAGTACGAAGCACACAGCATAACAAAAGCAGTTATACCTTATACCCCATGCAAATCATGGATTTAACCCAACTAATAATCCATTACACTTTTATGTTAGCACTTTTATTCACGTAATCAGTAAATAAAATTTTAAGCATCCATTACTCTGTAACCCAACGCACTTGCTTATCTGAATTTTTAAATTATATAAAAACTTAACGACACAGCGTGCTATGAAGCTGTCCCTTACCAAATAAGGAATATACGTTTAATGAATTAACAAGTACTAACTTCTTATTAGATTGAAATAAAATCAAATATTCAAAAATATCAAGCCGTCATGGATAAGCTCTCGTATATACGATGAATATATGTAAGTTTTTACCTTTAACTTGAGTTGGATGTGTTAGCTGAGATGGTAGCGGTAACATTTTCGGATACATTAAACTCAGGTTCAAGACCGATATTGGAATTTTTATTTTTTTTCAGTTCCAGTAACTTTTTATTTAAATAAAATTAAATAAACACGTCAATTATTATTTTGGCAATTGTTATTTTATAATTGAATTATCAAATTTGTTTTGAACGTGTAATATATTGATTACTCGCATGCGCTATAACTTTGCAACTGTTTTGTCGATAATATAATCATAAGTATGGTTTCTATACAAATTTTTCATAATTTCATCTTTGCAATGCAGGATAACAAACTGGATCCGTAGAAAGCATTGTTTATTGGTGAAATTTATTAAAAATTTAATGATGGATTGAAAATGGAATCAAAACAGAATTTAAATAGCTTAATAAGTAAAATTTAAAATACTCATCGAACTACTCAAAATTTTAAAGATTACAGATTTATACTTCGTTATTGAAATAATATTATGAA